CTTCGTTCCCTCCGGGAAGCGAGCCCGGTTCTGGTGACCATGGGGATGACCACAGCGGCACTGGCGAGTGCACTGCTCACGACGACCACTGGCACTGCCCCGAGGGTGTCGAGGAGCCGCCCTACCCTCCTGGCGGAGAGCCTGGTTCTGGAGAGCACGGCGGCTCGGACGAGTCGGCTACCGAGTGTACTGCGCACGACGACCACTGGCACTGTCCCGAGGGTGTCGAGGAACCCGCCTACCCCCCGGGCAGCCAGCCTGGTGCCGAAGGCGCAGAAGGCGCCGAGACCGAGTGCACCGCCCATGACGATCACTGGCACTGTCCCGAGGGCGTCGAAGAACCCTCATACCCCCCTGGCGGTGAGCCTGGCTCAGAGGGCGCTGGCGCTGGCGGCGCTGGCGGCGCCTCGGGTGAGTGTGTCGCGCACGATGACCACTGGCACTGCCCTGAAGGGGTTCCAGAGCCTGATTCGCCGCCAGCGCCAGAGGTGGTTGAAGTATCGGGCGCCGCTTCGTTCGATGTGACCAAGGCGTACATGGTGGCCTTTGCGACGATCCCCCTTCTCTTCGGTTTCATAGGTTGAAACTTTTGTTGTTCATTGAGGTGGCGAGATGTGTGAAGATGAGGTACGGTCAAGCTCTCTTCTCTAGATAGCTGAGATCTTGTCCGCCTCGGAGCCTCCGTTGACGACCCCTATGAGAAGCAATTACAACCATTAATTAATGTCAAACACACTTGTTAGACACGTTTCCACTTCTATGATGCCTCTTGGAGCAAGATGACCATGGTGATTTGATGCCTGCCCATAATGTGGATGGGGGATTGATGTCTTGTCTGGAATCAGGGGCAAGGTGGCCCCGTGCCTCATGTGTCAGCTCGGACCTGTATGTGTCCCAGCATGGTGTCTCATGTCTATATCGGTGGTTGGAACAGATCTACTCGGTAACTCGATGCATCCCTGTCGTCGGAAGACAGATGACTTGCGCGATGCTGCATGGTTGGGATGGAAATGGAGGTTCCATGTCGGTGCCTAGAGCTGGTCCTGGCACCAGCGTTGTCCCTTGGGTTCATCAGGTGGCCACCGCCGTGCTTATCTAATCGGTCATAGGACCCTGACGAAGCTACCAGGCGCCAGGGAACCAGCAACCCACCTTCTGGAGGAAAGAGTGGCCCCTGGAGCTTCCTTCCGACCCCAACAAATGAGTGGGGCTCTTGTCGTTCGTGGCACCAGCGGCAGGTGCAACTGTCGGTGGAGGTGCAGGCAGGTGCAGCTCGTTCGCACCCACCAACAAGAAAGACCGGGTCTCCTTCTCCAACCAGAGCCAGGGTAGATGAAGGCGGTGATCCTCATCCCCCCCGTCCCGTCCAAACAAAACACAAACCACACAAACATCAAGCCTCCCCTTCGAAAAACCTAACGCGGGTGGGCTTCCAGCTGCAGGTCAACATTTACTGTGTTTCTGTGCTTTTGGACTTGTTTTTTTTTCGTGCTGCACAGCTCTGCTATTCTTGGCTCTTTCGTCATTTACATTCCTGTCAACAACACTTGCGATGCCATCCGCCCCTCTTGGCAGGTGAAGCGGTCAGTCGAAAACGAGTTGAAAAAAGTAGCTCCCAGCCCACAGTCCGAATTTGTTTCGAAATATGACATACTCCTCGCATTACCAAATGCCCGGCGCATTCTTTGACAGCCACACAACTGGCGTCCACCCCAACGTCTTCCGACCGCCTACCACGCCGTCAGCCTCGTCGTCCATTCACCTCGGCAAGTCCACCGCCAGCGTTGGCCCCGAGAACGGCAGTCTTGCCGCCCACGTCAAGAGAAAGCGCGCTCGTGCCGATACGTCGCGCGAGCAGACTCCCCTTCAAGAATGGTCTGATGCCAACATCAATGCCGATGGCCTCACCGACAGAAACCGCACACCGGCGGCAAAGGTTGGACATGGACAGCCCACGGAGCGCTACACCCTAGCCGGCCAGCTCGAGACGCCCGGTGGTTTCCATGCTGCAGGTGGACATGGTCGACTCGAGGAGAGCCTTTGTTCCGACAGCGATTACCGAAAGGCTCTCGGCTCGAAACGACACCCGGTCGAGCTCGACTCGCCAATGAATGGCCATCCCACCTTGCTTGTCAAGCCCAGCCAGCAGCCAGCAGGCGAAGGCTGGAGCCGCTTTGCGTTCAACGCCATCGGCGGCGTCATGGGCAAGGTATGGGAGTTCTGCCGAGGTAGCGCATTCACAGGCTTCTATGCTGGCGGCGGCACGCCCTACGCCATGACGGGCAGCGCCTTGTACCTGCGTCACCGACGAAGGCTGTGACGCACGCAGAGAAGCCCAGGGACTACTTTTCACCGAGAATTCCTCAGCCTTCGACGGGAAATGATGCAAACGTCCCTGGCGGCTTTCCCCAATCTGACTACATGCCTTACAACCCTGAAATTCTCGAAGCTTTAACGCCCGATTCGACACCATCCCGACCCGCTGTCAAACGCAGGCAGGTCAGTGAGAACGACGAGCTGCGTCGCAACTGGATCATGGTCGATGAAGGCTCGCCCCTCGAGCAACCGCGTACCGCCTCGAGAGCCTCACTGCGCCCGCCGTCGCGAAACTCGCGGCCCTCCATGACGACCGGCCGCCGAATCAGCGTGCCCGTCTCGCGTCTCAATACTACTCCGTCCAAGGCCCGTCGGAACTCGCTCCGCAGCCCGCATGCCGTGTCACCGGCCCGTACCGCTCGAGAACCACCCGCCAGTACTGCCAGCTGTGCCAGCGTCCGCTCTCCTCGGGCCTGTTCGCCTGGCCCGCTGTCGCCGCTTTCGCCAAGCCGGATCCCTATCCCCTCTCAGCAAGCTGGCCGCGGCTCCAACCCCTTCTCACGACCCTCGAGCTCGGCGGGCCACTACCGAAGCAACAGCTGCGTCACGTCGCCCATCCGGCCGGCCCTGAGCCACCGCCGGACACATAGTGGTGCCTCAGCTGCTTCGGCTCGTGTCCAGACGTCGCGTGATAACGATGACAACGTGGACGCGAGTCCCAGGCTAAGCATGGAAGCCAAAAAGCTTGCCGCTAAGAGGCGAAAGGAGGAGCAGGACGCCGACCTGCGCATCAACGATTTCAACTACAGGCTGAAAGAGATGATCCGCCAAGGTCGGGAAGCCCTTGGAACCACATTTGAGGTAGACGATGATGCAGGTGGCTGGGAGTCGGAACACTGAGACTTTTGTGACTTGGGGATCGGAGAGGTTGTGGGAGCTGGCCTCTGTTTGGGCTCGGTGGATATTTGTTTCACAACACGATGGGTTATGTGAGGGCGCACGCTATGATACCTCTGCTTCTTCCAGCCTTGGCGTTTGGGCCTCCATGAGGCGTGCCTTTCACGATATCACGATTATTGGGTCAGGCGGGTTTCGGAGGCTTATTTATTTTTGACGTTTGCCGCGGCTCACGACACCGCAGATACCAGATGAATGGAACTTTACTTTGTCTTTTCGAATCTATTATATTGTTCTCATGATTTTGGTGATATCTCGAACCAACCGAGACTGATGAAAGTCGCTACCAAGACTGACGCGCCTGAGACCTGGGTTCTGCCACACGGTCTCTCCGCCGAACCACCGCTCCTATCAGATGCTTTGATGTCAGGTATTCACCATGCGAGTCGCCGGCATCGGCCCACGCAGCGATCCCACAGAAATCACAGCTTGTGCTCCCCCAAGAACAGCGCGCCAAGCAGCGCCAGCGGCGAGCAGACGAGCGAAACGCCATGACTCCACGACAGGCCCTCGATGTAGGACGCGACGACAGCGTCGCCGACCCTGCCGCGCGCGCGGTTCGAATGAAGGCCAACGCTCGAAGCCGGCCTCGGCCGATGATGTGCCGCCGCCGCCGCGCCGGTGAGCCCCCAGGGCCCACGAGAACGGGCGTCGAAGCGCGGCCCTTTCATGGGGGCCCATGACGACGGCGCTAGCGGTCGCGAAGCCCGAAAAATCATTGCCGACGGTCGTGCAGAGG